AAAAAGTTACTTGAACCGAGATTAAATTTAATCTTACTTTAGCTAGATCCGAATGTTTGAAGACTGAAGAAACTGTTAAATAAGATCACAGTCAACGAAACGAACGTATAGTTTTTAAATATCGTTCTTAAATATGAAATCTGACTGAATATCGTTCAACATCTATTTGTATTATGCATTTACATCTATGATGTAAATGCGAAGTTCTACGAATTTTGAATCAGATAACAATACAAAGTTTCATAAATTCTGAATCAGACAGCATTGTTGCTCTTAACTGTACAGCTATACGATTTCGCGCCGTTAAATTGTCCGATACTTGGTAGATATATATATATACATATATATACAATATATATAATGTATTAATATGTAAGTTTACTTCCTTAGTAGGCTCGCTATCACGAGAAGCGTTTTCTTGGGATTCGCACGTACAGTTAAAGTATTATCCGTTTCACAAATTCCACGTTTAGCGTTTACGTATGTGTGTGTATGTGTATGTGTGAGACTGCGCGCGTATGTGTATGTATGTGTGCGTGTAGGTGTGGGCGTATGTGGAGTTTTTTCCTCGAGTTTTTCTGAACGTTAAAACACTAGCGAGCGCATGACAGAGTATTCGAGACACGTGAGCGAAAGGCGATGTTAATTCTCTAGATTAGAATCATCACGTTAACGTTTAACGCTGTAAATAGACAGACTGTGATAATTTCTAACAATGTCTGCGTGAACACATCTCGTGAACGGGGTGACCGGAGAAGGGACTCGTTCAGGAAAGAGATCTAAGGAGGGTTGGAGGAGCGTGGGAGGATGGTTGATCGAAGGACACGAGAGAGCGAAGGCCTTTGCAGTCAATTTATCGTAAAAGAAATTAACACTTTAATTTATGTTCTAAGCGATGAAGGCGTGGATCGAACGTCTCGATCCGGCTCGAAGCACACTTGTACATAATTTATTTAAATAAAGTGTATTAGCTGGCATTTTACATACCTCTCGCCCTTCCATCATTATGCTTCATTGTAAATATAATGAAGTGTGAACGTGTCATCGCGGAAATTCATATTGTCTAAAGCCCGTAACACACGCTATATACGCATTGAGGATTGTGAATTGAAGATTAGAATTCAGTCAATTAAAACGAAACGGATTAAAATTAAAATAATCTGACTGAATTCTAATCTCTAATTCGCAGTCTTCAATTGATATGACGCAAGCCAAAGTCGAAGTTTGAGTAATCTTTACGCAAAGAACGATGGATCTGTCGTGGTTGACCCGAAAACTTTCTCATTGCGCAAATAATTTTTATTTTACATTTATCGCAATCTTTTAGTTAAGATTTAAGCGGTCCACTTTAAAATAATTTTTTTTTATTTAATAAGATCAATATTTGATTTAATGACTTAATATTTGATATTCTGCTTGACCTCAATGGCTCGATATTTACGAAAGATATAATTTTCGAAACGTATTGGAACATATTCGTTCCATAAAAAAGTTCCAGATAATAAAATCTGTCAAGGACAGATTTTATAAGTATCTGTCATATTTTGTATGTAAAAATATAACAAAGTATGGCAAATTGATTCGTTAAAAATCGAATAGAACCTGTCGTTTCATAATCATTTGAATAATGTATTCCATTTAAATGGTTGTGAAATGATCGATTCTACTTGATTTCTGATATTAGTTTGCTATGGAAATATGTCATGATATTAACTGCAGATAATCGACTGACAAAATACGAGTTTAACGTAGATATGTCAATGCTAATCTACAATGATATTCTACTCAATCAAATATTTATACGAATCTTTCATATTTAAATTTATGAACATTTGAAAAAACACTTTATCTCTTCAGATTTTAAATGAAAAATCTTAGAAATCTAAGCAGACTATTAACATTTTGCTTAATAACTCTGATGAAAATTTAAAAAAAATTCTTCGTATTCTTTTGTTTGCATAAACTTTAAAAATTTTTTTAATTATACAATTTTATAATTTCTTAAAAAATTCTCAAATTTTCTTAGACGAGTTAGAATGTTTTTCAGAAGTGCTGATAAAATCTACCATCTCAGTTGAGACCAAATATAAAAGTAACAAAGCTCTAAACTCTAAAAATTATAAATGTAATATAACATAAATGTTATGTTAGATACTTTTAATTTGTGTCGACTGAGATCTTTTCTACGTGAAAATATAAAAGAATCCTTTATACATATTCACACTTTATGAATTCTAAAAATTCTAAGATTGTTGTTGTGATTTGTCATTATATATTCTGAAGAAATCTTTTAAAATCTAAAGAATTTTAAAGCATTTTTCAGAAATATTCATAAGTCTCAAATATGAATAATTCTTAAAAATATGAGATAACAATTTTTTATCAAGGAATATATTAACGGTAAGTAAGATAAATATATCGCCTGCAATTAATTCTCTCTCCCTCCCTCTTTTTCTCTCTCTTTTTCTCTTGACGCTCGTTACATTGATCTGGGACGCATTATATACAGATCGGTTCGTCCTAACTGTACTCCTTGCACTTCCCGCACTCGAAACACATTTATGCTCCATTGAGACAAGGTAGACAAGGATAAGGCGGTAAACAGCGTAAAGAGGACAGGCGGAGCTCAACAGCCCACTTTACACGATCCACAATTCATGGCAATCCATTACGGACAAAACGCCGGATCTTCGTTTAAGAAAAAGAATAAAATTTATTATTATTGGATAAACATTTTATCCTATTTTTATTTTTTCTACCGACTCTAGATTTTTTCTTTCGGAAAAAACTATTTTGTCACTATTTTATGGTATTAGATTATGTTTTTGTTAAAATAATAATAATAAAGAACAATTATAATACCAAAGTAGATAGATTGTTTAAAGTAGGAATTTGGAATTACTATTCCAATGAAAAAAAATTTCGTATTTTTAAGAATTTTTCATATTTTTAATTTTTATGAAGATTTTTAAAAGAATATTATTTCTTCAGATTTCTAAGTTTTATTATTAATTATAAAATGAGAAATCTTAGAATATATTTCAAACTTCTATTTCATAAATAAATTTAAGAATTATAGAAGAGATAATAGACTTTCTCAAACACTTCTAAAAAGTGTTCGAATTCGTATAAAAAATTATAAAATATATATAGAGAGAGAAATTCTGAAAAAGCTACGTGAAGGATTCTAAGAAAAATTTTCATTAAAGGTAGGAAAGAAAAAATAAAAAAAGAGTAAAGATTGATATATATTGAAGATCCATTTAAATCCATTTAAATAGAAGTTAGCCTTTTTATATTTGTGTTGGATGTATTTCAAACAAGAAGTTCAAAAAGTTTTTCCTTTTTTCTCACGTAAAAGGTTGCAATATAAAAGAAAAAAAGATTTAATGAGATGTTATATGTTGATCATTATTCCTTACAAAGAAAACTATGTGAAGAATGAATATGGACATTTTTAAAAGCGTATCAGAAATCTTATAACAGCTTAAGGTAGCAGTCGAGGTACGTGAGAAACAATTTATTCTTTACAGCTGAACCTGCCTGAACTTTTTTTGTATAAATATAGATGAACTTATTGTTTATCTACTCCACGTCCAGTTATAGCATATTATACGTCTATTCTATTGAATCGGAACAAAAGTTTGTAGCGCTACGAACTTCAAAAATCGAGCATCTGTAACCATATACGGTTAAAAAATCTGAAAAAATTCAGGAACGCCATACATATTTTAATTACAAACGAAAATGATACAGTGAAACTTCTTTTTTTAATTCCAAAATGTTTTTTAAACTCTTTTTTTATATCCATATACGTAACTCTTTAAAACTTTTAAATATTCTGTTTACAATTAAATTATTTAAAATCTTAAAACCTCCTTCATAAGGATTTAAACTCTTAGAAAATCGTTTAAAGAAAGCTATATATAGTAAAAAAATCTGAAAACATTCTCAATATATTTGAAAATAACCTTTTCAATATTCAAATATTCTTATATTAGTTATTATATTTTTGAGAATATATTATATTATATATATATTACATTATATTATATTTTTGAGAATAATATATTATATTATACTTGAGAATAAGCTCTTCAATATTCAAATTCTTATGTTAGGAAAAAGACTGGAACTTGGAAGACCTCCTTAAGCAGAAAGTATACTATATTATATTTTTGAGAATATATTATATTATATATATATTACATTATATTATATTTTTGAGAATAATATATTATATTATACTTGAGAATAAGCTCTTCAATATTCAAATTCTTATGTTAGGAAAAAGACTGGAACTTGGAAGACCTCCTTAAGCAGAAAGTATACTATATTATAATTTTGAGAATATATTATATTATATATATATTACATTATATTATATTTTTGAGAATAATATATTATATTATACTTGAGAATAAGCTCTTCAATATTCAAATTCTTATGTTAGGAAAAAGACTGGAACTTGGAAGACCTCCTTAAGCAGAAAGTATAACATAGTGCAGCTACAAAGAACGGACGTAAAAGGATCCGTGTGGCGAATCGCGAAGAATAGCGAAGAAGCGATCGTGTGAAACGGGCCGCGGGTCTGACAGCGCTCGTGTCAACATCGCGAGCCGACCGAGCTTGCCAGGTTTGCCTTTGTTTCCATCGCCGCAGCAGCCGCCTGGATATCTTCCGATATCCTTACCGTCCTCCAGTATTTACGCTCGCAGGGAACGATGTCCTTCGCAATCGCGAGCCGCGCGTTCCACGGAAATGTTTGTTTTGTTCGACTCGTCGGCCGTTGAGACCGGTCGCAACCGTCGTCCGTCAACTTAACCTCTACGCCGCGAAGATTAACCTGGAACGCTGTGAATCCGCTGATTCCGCTCCGCGAGTCGCAGTCGTGGACTTCATTCGCGTCGAGCTGCTCGGCCCGGATTAAATCGAGGAGCCTTCGAATTTCCTTCTGGGTTATCAGGAGATTGTCCAGGTAAAGATACAAGATAAACGTCTCAGTAGGACTGGGAAAGTTACTTTGTTTCTTATAAGTTACTTTTTAGGTTACTTTATATGTGTTTGTTATAGAAATTTAGCGCAAATGTAATACAAAATTGGAGCAAATGACAAAATATAATATAAAATAGAATACCCGAATTTATTGTTCTCAATTTCTATAATAAAAAGTAACTTATGACTTTTATGAGTAACTTGGAAAGTAACTTTCCCAATCTTGCAGTGATCAGACACATACTTGTGTCCAGACATTTACACAAAACTTTATTTGTTTATTTTAATTAAATAAGAGAAATCCTATATTCAGTTAAAACAGATCTTAGTAGAATTTATATACATCTAATTCTGCAATCTGCGTGCCGAAATATTTTTAGAACTACAGCAGTAATATTCCTTATTAAATTGACAAACTTAATAATTTTTTATACTAATAAGTATCTTTGTAAGAATATTAATAATTAGATGTTAATGAGAATTTTAAATCTGAATAATTTTATTTGTTTGTATTATTACTAATAATTTCAAATGCTTTTTTAAATATAATGTTGTAATTTAATTGAAATTTTTAAAAACAATTTATTTTATCACACACATATTATATAAATAAAAAAAGCACTTGAGATTAATAATAATAAATTTTATCATGTTTCTCTCTCTATTCATAGTTAAGCTTTATATTTAAGGTTTTCTTAAGTTCATCTTTAGATGCTAATAGTCGATAAAATAATTCATAGAGCATCTGAAAATAAATTTAATAATAGGAAATCTTAAATATAACCCCTGACTATGAATACAGATGTATGTTTCTGGCCATAAGTACATGTCACTCGAGATGTTTAGGTGTTTACCTCACCTGTGAAATTTTTACAGTGATACGTGTGGATACGTGCGAGAGATGGCTGGCAACAACGAGCTCTGGGTGCAGTGTTTCACGTGCTGCCTGACGCCACGGCCAACGAGGAACAACAGGCGGAACAGTGGCAGGCCGCATCAGAGGCTCAGGATAGACCGGAGCATGATCGGCGTGCCCACGAATTTCAGACACACAGCGCACATCAGCAGCGGCGACATCGACATGTCGATTGCCCAGCTGGCCGACCTCCAGGCACAAATGCAGAGGAAGAGTGGTTTTGATACCGATTTCAGCGCCAAGGTACGTCTCAGCTTTCTGTCGGTTCCAGATCCTCCTTTCCCGGACCAACGCAAAGTCTAAAATCGCAATTCAAAACGTTTTAAAGACGTTCGAAAGAAGAAATCTAGAATTGGTAGAAAAAATAGGATAAATTATTTGTTTGAAGCTTTGTTGATTTTATTCCAGAAATCCCTTGTTCCTGTTGTGTAAAATATACTTTTTCTCTTTTATTTCTTTGTCAGAGCTAATCAGTTGAATTCTTTCGCTCTTTCTGTCACAGGCATGTTGAGAATAGCTTCGTCAATGTCGCAGCAGGATATTTAATACGATAGCGACAGAGCGAGAGAGCTTTACGATGTAGCGGAAGGATGACTGATGTTTTCTTTTTGATATCCATGTTCCTTACTCGTCTGATGGACGAGCGCATTTCTTTCATATGAACAAGATTGCATTTTGCAAGATGCTCCGTTAGAGAATCAAGACAAATTTATGTACACTGGACAAGTCTCTGACTTCCATTTGGAAAGGAAAACTGCCAGAGTTAATCATGTTACAGCGTACAAATAATCATTTACGACTTTATACCTCTATATTTTTGACTGGAGACGCATTGCGTCTAAAAACTTAATATTTTATGAACGTATTCTATAAATCATGTGCCTTTTTGACGGCGATCTGACGTTCCTTGCGGAAAAAAATGTACACAAGAACGAGGAATGGATCGTTTTATTTGTAAAATTACTTGTAAGATTTAGAAAATATAACGTAGACATGTTAATTAGAGTATAAGTAAACGTATCACATAATATCACATAATATAATTCTGTACACGTAATACTTATCCTATTGTCGAATATTGTCGCGTATATTAATAATAATACAAGAGAGCATTGGCGATATTTATAAAACGGCATAGTTCCTTCATGTGGAGACACCTCCGTTCCTTCGTTAATCGACATGATATCGATGTCGCCGATTGTTCTCGGCTCGCGAATTCCTTCGTGTATCAACTTCCTCCACCTTCATATTCTGGACACGACAGTGTGGTCCTCCGATTCATAGACGTAATACAAATAGACCGAGCATGAGGCACGATGTCTGAACGTAGAAAGAGAATGAAGACAGGGAGTAGTTTTTATTTCTCTCTAACGAGGAAAAAGGAGTAACCAAAAACCGCTGGCGACAACTTCGACCAAGCTCGACAATTAATTTAATAGACAGAATTGTTTTCAGTAAAATTTCAAATTGTATTCAACTGTACTCGTTGCTCTTAGTATCTAATTCTTTTTTTCATGTGTGAAACAAAAAATTAATAACACAAATAAGCGAAGAAGTGAAGGCCATATTTGGTCAAAGCGGATCTTGGCCTAATAATATTTTTGCGTGAGTTTCCAGTTCATGCGAACTGTGTGCCGATTACACTGGTTTACAAAGTTTCGTATGATATGAAGATTATTTCTACGATAATTTTCTATGAGTCCGAATCTACCATTGAAATATTTTCAGGATTTTGAGATATAAGAAAAATTATTAAAAAAAGAAAGACTTTTTCCAATATAATTAGGAAGTTTGAAAACAAGTTTTATTAGAAAACAAATCGGCAGTGTTGATGGAATTTTTCTGATGGCATATTCGAACTCAGCGTCCCAAAATACATTAAAAAAAGTTAGGTCTTTTTTGCAGTAAAAAGTATTCAAAATTTGTAAACTGGTGTTATTTGTCGATCTTGAAACATAGTTCTGAACTGAAACTGGAGTATGTAATATCACAAATTATAAATTGACAAGCAATTTAACAATACTATGCTAATGAGCATCTTAAACCACTATAGAGAATTTATTACAAAAATTATCGCCCCATAATTTTACTGTTAACAGTTAACAACAAGCTGCTTGGTGTAATAGCATCAGAGTTGATATGACAGAGTCATCCTAAGCATCTTATCTGTGAACGTGCGACGTACCGAACGTCTGCGTAGACACGAATGAGACTGAAAGAGTCACTCTATTATATTTTCTCTTCGCTCGTCCTAGCTTTCCTATTGGAGTATCATTGATGTGAAAACTTGATCTACTTTATTGTGTTCGATTGACTGACAAGTTTAGTCTTAGTCCCAGCCTGGATGTAAGATCGCCAGTGAACTTCACGTGACAACAGCAGCTCGACGGAAAGCGGAATTGATCCTTGAAGATGTTACCATCGCTTCCCACCGCTGCCAATTCTCGATAGATATATTTCTGTTTGCAGGAGGTCGTGTAGCCCTCGGCGAAGCCTTCAACCATGTTGCACTTCTGGCCTTCGTTCCTGCAATTAAAAACTCGCTATAAGTATATATCAGACGATTCCGTCCCCATATTATTTTCTTTTTTGAAAAATTGTTGTTTTAGTTAACAAGAAATGTACAATATGACATAAATAGAAGTACAATTTTTATTTATTAAAATAGAATGCACTCGACTGGTTTTTGAAGAAAGGATTTTAGCTGATTTTGAAGTGTCTTACCATTTTTGAAAATTGACTGACGAATATAACTATAAGTAGAAATGATTTGATTTTGTAATTAGATCCACTTTTCTCTTTTAATTTTATAGATCAATTTATAACTGCTTTGCACATCTTTTAAATGTTCAATTCGTGATTTAAGAAACCCATCCAGACAATATAAAGTTTAAAATCGGAACATAAGACGTCTTTGGACATTTGAACAATCTTCCGTCTTTGGACATTGTTTGGGAAGGAGTAATTGTGTGATCTCATTAAAAAAAAATTTTGAATATAGCTGTTTTCGATTATCAATTACTCAAATAGAATTGTTCTTACAAACAAACTTCGATGCGTATTCCTTGCTTCAAGTCATCCTGGTTCACGATGAACAACCATTGATTTTCCTTGTTCTGCGCTGTTTGCGGGTATACTACTTGTTCCTGCGAACGATTAATGATATTTCAAATGTTATTTACTAATTCTAATATTTATTGCACAATGCAGAGGTAATCTAAGGAAACTAAAAACTTATTCAAAAGAAGAAAAAAGCCAAATCAACTCACGCGAATTGGGCAAAGCACTGATTCGCGCGACATCGTGTCTATCCTCTGTTCCACGTCGCCGACGTCAGACATCTGGAAAAGCATATATATGTAACCCTATAAGATACGTCGCGGAATTTAATAAACGAGGCAAGTAAAATATTAAATATATTGAAGATTGAAACTATAAGTACAGTAATACATTAAAACCGGCATTATATAATTTCACTGTCAATCTAACGCAAAAATAATCTATACATGGAAAGAACAGTTTTGATGAAATGTCTAACAATTTAGCTAGATACAGATATAAAAATAATTTTGTTTCTATTTTTGTAGGATACTTAAATTGATTGCTGGAATGTTAAAACTTTTTGCAGCATTGTTATTAATAGACATCGGATTTTTATGCAGATATTTTTTGCAGATGTGCACAAAATATGCAAATTTGTATAATATGCACAAATAAATATGCATTTTTAGAATGCTTTTTTAATAAAACTTTCTATTTTGATGTCACTTTCCAATCTGCAAAAAATATGAAATTGCATAAGAATCCGATGTCTAGTTATTAACGTTTAATGTACTTAATATATGATCCAATTATTGAACAAAATGACAAAAATTTTAAATATTAAGCTTTTAATGATACATACGATTCTAAATAAATTTGTTATTAAATTTTTATAAACAACGATTAAAGTCTTAAATACAATTAAAAGTTTGATATTTAAAATTTTTTTCATTTCATCCAATAACTGTCTAATAAATGTTCACCAACTGTTCAATTATTGGGACGTTTAGTATCAATTATATCTTAAGCATTCTACATAATCACTTTGATGGTTCAATAAAATTATTTTCAGATTTGTGTCTAATTAAATTTTTAGATACTTCAGCAGAACCATTTTTCCACGTATAATTTGGAACGATAATGATTTTAATTTAGATTTCAGATTTCCCTCATTGTCACCATATTGCATAAAACGTAGTGTTAAAGAATACTTCAACGTCATTTCCGTGTGTCTCGTGTATCGGAAGTTTACGTAACACGCCGAGATTATGTCAATTTCGCAATTCTTTGTTCTGCAAAGACGTACACATATACGCACAGCTGAATAATTATAGCAGAATATAAAATAAACTTCATTTTGACGCAACGATATGATGAGCTAATAATAAAACGAACGCTCACGCGTTCTTATGTGTGACGGAATCATTTCTAACCGAATCGACAGTATCGACACTCTCCAGGAATCTCAAACTGGCGTTCCGCTGTATTGCTGTGTTCACCAGTTGCCTGGGATAGTCGGCGACGTTCTCGCAGAACGTACTTTTCCGGCAGATCAATGTCGGCAGCATCGATGTTTCCGTCGAAATCCTACCGTCCGGAAAAATAATTTTCTCCTCGGAATTCCTGTGCATTGACGTACCCGCGTCCCTGTGCGGCATGTCCGGACTTCTGTACATCGACATGTTAGTGCTCGAATCTGCAAAGGAGAAAGATACCTCAGCAATATTTATTATGAATATTTTTTAAAATTCTTCCACAATTGTTTCGGAATTTCTATATAAATGTCAGAATTTTTCACATTTTTCTATATGATTTTATAAATTATTAGAAAATTGTTCAGATTTTTAAATACAAATTGGAATACTTTTCAGAGATACTGAGAAAGTCAATATTCTTTTTTAAATATTTTACTTATGCAAATTCTGAAACATCAAAAAATTTCTTAATCTATAATTTTCAAAGAAAACTTATAAAAGATATTTTTTTTAGAAATTTTTATAAAATCAAATTCTTTTAAAGATATTAAAAATATGAAATATAATGAGATTATTTCATCAGAATGGGACACTTTTTCTTAGAATTCTTTACATAATTTTCTATATAAATTTCAGAAATTTTCATAATTTTTATATAACTTTATAACTTTTATATAATTTTTTAGAAAATTCTTATGTAATTTGTGTGTGTGTTTCTACAAAATTTTTATAAAATTAGAACTTTTTAGAAATACTGAGAAAGTCTACATCTTTTCCAGAATTCCTTACGTGAATTCTGAGATATTCAAAATCTATTTCTCATTCTATAATTTCCGAAGAAAACTTATAATATCTGATTAGTTTAAGATATTTTTTTAAACCTTTATAAATTTAAAATATGAAAAATTTTTTAAAAATATTATGAGATATAAAAATTTTCTTCATCAGGAAATCACTTTTTATAACACACGATATTCGGAATACACGCGCTATCGTTATTTCGTAAGTTCCCGTTTTACGGAGAAAACCGCAACTTTAAATAGATCTTCGATTGCGTTTAAACTACTGACCTTGATCTAATCATGAATGGTTATTGATTAGTTCCGGAGAGTCACTGAAAAAGAATATTCATTACTTGAAGTCAATACTTATACAAGATAAACATGCCTTGCAATGATCTTTTTGATCTACTTTGAATCACCCCATCGCTCGAAAACTTCTCCTTCGAAGTGCTCCTCTGCGTCTGTTCGATCCTTTGTGAACAACAATTGTTGTCTTCGTCGTTGATCTTCTGCGGCCATTCTTGCGGTCGCAGAAACACCTAAAATTATTTACAGGTTTTAAGATGCTTCTTACCTTCAGATTTATGAGTATCTTTCTAAGATATCCATGAGCATCAATATTATTAAATTGCTTGTCAATTTAATTTGTGATATTACTATCCTAGTTCTGTTAGAACTGAGTACTAAAAGTTACACTGAAAGAAAAGATTGGCTGAATATGGCATAACATTTTTAATTGGCTGCAGCAGCCAACTCAGTAAACGAGAATGGATTAAAATGGATTGAAATTTTTTCTATCCGAATGCGTATTTTGAATAGCGAAGACTTTTTCTTGGATTCAATTGGATTCAATTAGATTCAATTAGATGCAATTGGATTGAAAAACTGCATTTCCTATTCAAAATTTTGAATTGAACGATATTCACAATGCACAGAAAAAGCTGATATTGTTTTTAAATTGAAAAGCATAGAGATGTGCTCCAATTCCTGTAAATGAATAAAAATGCATTCAGAATTGAAAAGTATTCATTTTAACATTCGTGAATCCATATTTCTGAAAATCTGAATCCATTTCAATTCATTTCAATCCATTTTCGTTTACTGGGTATCTTTTCTTTCAGTGTAGTTGAATTTCGCGAGGAGCCAAAATGGCTGCTAGCGTGTCCAGTGAATACACCTAATATTCGAATAAATGAATAAGAAATGAATAAAAATACTCATTCGAATACACTTCTTTTTTATTCGTCAAGAAACGAGAATAAGTACTTTTTTATTCCATTTGAATGAATATTTTTTTAATATGATTACGAATACTTTCGTTTCGTATTCACTTTTACTCTGTACTATCTGCACATAGCTTGCAAAGCTTGCAAGTGAAAACAGAAATCTATAAAAACAATGACTACGATTACACCATGTGCTTAGACCTTGCCCTATACGTCCTTGTTTAACCTATAGATTAAACAAAGACATTTTTTATTGGGAATAAATAATATATCTCAGAATTTAATGTCCACAGACCATAATGAACGACCAAGATAGCTTAATAAATAATGTTATAAAATGTTTATAACATTACTATGATAACCGGAATTATATCGGAATATGACGCTCTATCAAATAGATAGGTATTTATAAATAAAAAATGTATTGCTTTCTAAAATATTTTTCAAAATTTCTAAGTTTCCTTCATAAAATCTGAATTATAATGACAAAAATAAATAAAATTCATTTTTTTACTTAAAGTTATCAAACGGTTAAAGGGTAACGATTGCTTATTGGAGCTTCCTTTATCAGTTTATATTTTGTTTGAATGAATATGAATACTCGTTAAATATTCATAGTTTTTTTGTAAATAAATATTTTTTGAAAACCAAAAATTTTGAATGAATATATGATTACATCTTTTTTAATGTGAAAATTTTGAATAAATACAATTTGGAGCTCAATTACAAATTTTTGTATTCATCGGACACACTAATGGCTGCCTCGGTCCTTCCATTGTTAAGGCTTTCATTTCCTAATTGTTGTGTATTCACATTTATGATCTACTTCGTTTAATATTGTAGAAACACCTGTTGCTCGTACGCCTTTTCGATCACTCTTGAAATCGACAACGCGTCCTGCGACGAGGAACTTCCGGCGTCCGGCGACTCCTCCGACACTTCCGAGGAAGCGCGAGGATATCCTTCGATCGGTCGCACCGTCTGGCACACCTGCCGAACGAAAAAGGTATATGAAAACAATCGAATCTCGACCCGCGGCTTTTTTTTCTTTAAAAATAAGCCGTTTTCCGCGAAGTACACGCGCGCGCGCTTGGAATTATGTAAAGAACCGTCCTGTTCTTGGATCATGAGGTCGGAATCACTGCGCGCGGCGGGAGAATAGAACGCGATAAGAGAAAGATAAATTATTTCTATACCGAGGTTGAGAGGCGGCATAAGATCCTGTTACAAGCAAGTGCATGTAGCCGCGAACGAGATTATATAATGCGGTGTGATTACTCCGCGCAGGCCGCCGGTATCCGAAAGTATTTTGAGAATAAAAGATCATTTATTCAAAATTGAGACATAAGACATCTTTAAGATGTCCAAAAGACATCTTATGCCTCAATTTTGGACTTTGTGTTGACTGGGAAACTGTTAAATTATGCCGTAAGTAATTAGTTTAATTTTTTTATAGCTTATGGCATAAGTTAACAGTTTATGACCAGTATAAATGATTCTTAAAAGAGACTAAAGAAAAAAAAAGCAGATTTTGGTGCCTAGTAATATTCATATGTGATTTTTGCGCCGATACGATTTGTCACATTAAGCCAAGATCTGCTTCTTTTTGATCGAAAATGTCTTCATTCTCTCTTTTTTATATTTAAATAGTTCTTGGTCCATTTCACTGTTCATTTCGAGAATTTTAATTTTGTTGACACTGAAAAAAAATTTACTGAATTTTTATTAAATATTTGTTTGAATAGTACTTACAAATTTACCAAATGTAAACATATATTTATTTATAAGTATAATTTTTGTATTTTAAATAAATGTTTATTTACTGTAAGTAAATATTTCGTTAGTATTTTCAAATAAATATTTAACAAAATTCAATAATTTTTTTCAGTGTGAAACTTTGTTGATAATTTATGTATTATTAAAATAAAATTAAGTGTTTAATTTCTACATAGGTTATATATTTTATTATACGATTGAGTCAGTTTAATTTTTTTTGCAATTTTTTTCTTCATTTTCTTAGAAAAAATCCTGAAAAATTCAAAACACGCGCGAGATATTCGCATCTATAATAATTGCGGAGAACTGTCGTAACGTAATTTTACGATATATAATATTTATCTCTAGATATTCCCCCCGGTAAATATTGCATCTTAATTCCTTCCGTCAACGAAGCGGATCGCCAGGTAATCCCGCGACTTTTCCAGGTATCCTATCTGTCATCGTTTTATTATTACACACTCTCGTGCATTTGATACATATATGTGTCACAACACCTTGTGACAACTTCCGAACGTGTTATTTAAATCTGTTCATTGTTGGAAAACCTTGTCAAACTAGTATAAGAGGAAAAAACCTGAGGCAATATACATTCTAGGAAGAAAGAAACGTAAAAGAGATAAATAAAAATGGAATGTGGATGACCGATATTCGTAAAAAGGAGATGACGGAAAAATTTAGGAACGAACATTCCTCTCACAGGAATCCAATGTAATATCGGTCTATTTCGTAGAAGGTAGTAATTTTAGTGTATTTTGAGTATTAAAGGCACTGTTGCTTTTAATACTCAAAATAAGCAATTACTAATTAATACCTATCTACCAGTAAAAGCGCTGTTGTTCATTGCTTTAATACTCAAAATAAGAAATTAATCACTACCTTGCATTAAAAGCATTGTTGTTTCATGCTTTTAATACTCAAAATAGATAATTAATTATTCCTTCCAGTAAAGGCACTGTTATTGTTTTTATGCTAAAAGTAAGTAATGAATCACTATCTTTCAGTAAAAGCACTTTTGTTCAATGTTTTTAACACACAAAGTAAATAATTAATTACTAACTTCCAATAAAAGCACTGTTATTCACTTTAATACTAAAAATAAATAATTAACCACTTATATACCTTGCAGTATTAAAAGTACTGTGAATAACAAAAACTTTTATTGAAAGTTAGTAATTACTTACTTTGTATGTTAAAGACGCCTTCGGGCAACGGAAGTGTTAATTAAAGGTAATGAAAACAATCATGGTTCGAAGTTGTGTGGCACAATTGTGTTGAAAATGTCGACAATTCAACTTCGAACCATGATTGTTTTCATTACCTTTAATTAACACTTTCGTTGCCCGAAGGCGTTTCTGCTTTTTTGCAAAAAGAGCCAAAAAACTCGAGCGTTCCGCGATGGTATTGAGATAAAGATAATAACAAGAATATATCGGATATTAATCTCCGCAGTAAAATCCTCCACTCGATATTAATATACACACATATTCACATTGCCGCAGACACGTTTCTGCGTCTTTCAACCGACATGACCTCCATGCGCGCATAAATCCCATAAATCGCCGATTTAAAAATTCGGAGAAAGATAAATATGAATAAACGAATCTAACAAATCCATACGCGACACAGTTGTGAAAATATTCAGCAATTGATTAAATAGGGAAGACACACATTAATTCCAAAGATTAATAATTCTGACAGCAAACATGGTGAAGAATCGAATTCGACGATACATTAATTGTTAGAAACTTTTCTGGTTGAAAATAGAAGAAACCAAAGAATTTGATTACATCAATTAGAATTTTTGCATTGAAAAGAAATTTAATAAATTATTTATTTGAACAGTGTGTCAATTAAATATTTGTTAAATATAAAGATATATTTATTTGATATAAAGAACATTAATTTTATTTAATAATCATTTCTTTTTATCAAGTAAATATTTATTTACTGTAAGTAAGTGTTTAGTTGACACTTTTAATAAATATTTATTTAAATTTAGGATATTTTTTCTTAATGCGATTATCTCAACTAAAATTACAATAGATTCAACCCAAAAATTCTGATTCGTCCATTTTCAACCAAAATTTTACAATTAATACAACCGGCCCATTAATTCAATTAATTGCATTAATCCACAATTGCATTAAATTCTAATTAATGCAATCAGTGCAGTCTCTTACCAGAATGAGTGCCAGGTAGGCGGTCCACTTCAGACGAAGAGTTCTCGATGTCATTTCAAAAAGTAAAAAACGCGGAACGTCGTGCAGAAAACGAAGACTTCCCGCGAGAACCACGCGATACTCTCGACGACGATCGACGCGCGGCCGCTCGTATTCTACTGATCGGAGTGATCGGTCAGCGCAATTCCGATCCGAGGAACCACCTCCGCGCGGTCCGAGACAGAATCGACGGGCGGGAGAGAAAGAGAGAAGAGGCTGTCTCGCTTCCGGTGCGACTTGAGTTAAGAGAAGAGCGGGGGTGGAACTGGTCGCGACTGACCAGCGACAACAACGCGCGGAAAAGCCAGACGCACATAAGACTATAGGAGCCCGAACATTTTTTTATTCCTTCTCCCACCGTCGGTCTCGTATCCTGGGTTGGAGGGGACTGTGTCTGACGATAGTAGGTAGGGATGGGCGATGTGCGAAAAAATTATTATCGATGTTAGAATTACGGATGATTGAATTCATCGGTGTGTGACGAATTCATTATTCCTTTAAAAGTATCGAGAGACTCGAATTTTTTTAAGGAAACGTTTTTAATTGTAGGAGTAATATTGAAAAGTCAATGATTTTATTAAAAATAAATCGTAAATTAACGAATATAATTTATTTTATTTATTTTTCTTAAAAGAAATTCCTTCATTAGAGACAGATTTTCTAAATACTGCAGTGCATTTTCCGGTTTCCGGGTGTTGATTTCTGATACGTTGAAATCGTTATTCCTTGTTCCTAATTCCTTATTCTTTCTATTGTGGTTTGTGGCTGCACCCTTAAAGGTCATCACACGACTAAAATTTTTGTACGTGTGATGGCTTTTACCCCGGATCTACAATAGAGTTCTAAGCCTTAAGCCATAAGAAATGGATGAATCATAGTCGATTATTCTACTCGAATTGGACTGTGATTGGTCAAATTCTTACGGTTTACGGCTTAAAACTTCGGCTGTGTTTCATTCACTGCCAGCCCTAAAAATCTACAGCATTGAGCGCTCAGTGAGCTCTTATACTTGTTTGGTCAATTTTTAGATCTATAATGGAATCTATATGCTAATCAGATGCAAGAGCTCACTGAACGCTCAATGCGTCTGATTACCGTCAGATTTCTGCATGGACGAAGCAAGCGCATTTTGCAGTGCATTAAATTTTCCGAGTATAAAATATTTTTTTTATTAGAGAGGAAAAAATTGTTTAAAACTGCCGATATCTGACATAAAAAATCGTACATCGATGCATTGGGAGAGGGACACATCGCACACTGTGAGCGATCTGAAGGGAAATAATTTTTATTTTGATAAATTTTTAATTAATATTTAACAATTATATATCAGAGACGTTTTTAATCATTACAATTATATTAAAATGTCAAACACGGCTACAACAGCGCCTCTACAATTACAATAGCGTTATTAATATAAAAAGAGTGTATCAATGTATCCAATAATCATCTAGAATTAATATTATGTAAATAATAATAATCTCATTTTTAGACCGTACATGTGAGATCACAATCGATAAAGTAGAATCCTATATCGGTCGAAGCTAGATCTTAAATTAATATTATGTACAAATTAATGATTAATATTAATGTTGCAAAATTGATTTATTTCCCTTTGATTTTTTTTCATACTGCATCGGACCGAATCGATTATTTTTTGGAGAAAAAACTGTTGATCTTTTCGATTAATAATCGAAAATCGCTCATCCCTAGTAGTGGAAAAATCGAAGAGGTCTAAATATGGTGCAAAATTTAAATTTTGTTCTTTTCCTTTCAACTTCTCTTTGTTTTTGTTTGGTTTTATCTATTCTTTTTTTAAAAATGGTATTTTCAATCGTAGTGAATTCTATTTTTATTTTATGTATAAACAGAGGCATTAATGTTTTTCTTCATTAAGGGAATAATATAAGGACCAATTATCCAGTGAGAAATGATAATGGAATCGACATCAAATCGATGTCGATTAGACGTCGATTTCATTATCATTTCTCTCACTGGATAAGAAATATTCATTCATTTGGAAATAAAATGCAAGAAAATAGGATTATATTTATTTTGCGATAATTACGAAAAATAATTATTTTTATTAACGTAAAATTTTTCTTTCGCTAATTGCGTACAACTCTCGATTATACTTTGAACGGTGTTACATGAGTTACAAAAAAGCAATGTCAGTACTTTTATACTAAAAAGCAAATAAGCAGTACTCTTATAACGCAATTCATGTACTATGATTTCTATTTTCACAATTAATGCAGTTTGTGTAATTAATAATGTAATTAATTTCTCGTTTTCGTGCATCTTTTGTGATATGATCCGTATAAAAAATTAAACATAACTTTGTCGGTAATAAAAGAAATATTTATTTTTTTTATCAATTTCTGGCCCATTCGATTAACCCTTTAATTACATCTTACAGATATTATATTCCCCGACAGCACACAATATTTATAAAATATTTACAAAATGTTTATAAATATTTGTAAGATTTATTTTTAATATTTTGTAAATATCTTTGTGATCTTAGATTGCATAGATCATTTATTATAAATATATAATATGAAATATTTATTGTAAATGTTATAGTAAACGCTATGAAAATACTTAATAATACATTATAATCCAAGTAAAAAATGCTTTTTAGAAATATTGATTTATATTTGTCATAAATATTACATAAAATATTTGGTCTATATTTTAATAATATTTCGGATAAAGCTTTATATAAAATATGTATGAAATATTTATATGACATTTCGAAAAATAAATATTAATAAATATTTATCATAAATATTCTGTGCTGTCTGGATTATAATAAGAGATTCAACTCTTCTATCTGTTCTGAATTTATTTCGCAATTGTAATAAATTGACGTCCCCAACAGCATAAAACTTGCAGCAATATTGCTGCAACGTGTAATGTATTGCAACCATCAATATTGCTGCAAATGCTATTTCTGTGCTCTATTGGGTGTTTGATATTCATTTTTAAATGTTAAACGACAATCGCATTAACATATTTCATAATATCTATAATAAATATTTATGATCTGTGCAATCAGACCACAAAAAGAGAAGAGAGAAGAGAGAGAAGAGAGAGAGAAGAGAAAAAAGATTTACAAAATATTTTAAATAAATCTTATAAATATTTACATATACTTTGTGAATATTTTACAAATATTGTGTGCTGTCCGGGAACGTATATAATCTCATCGCCGATTTAATTGAAAGTGAACGAACCGCAACCCACCGCAGCCGGTTCGTCACGTCGCGCGTTTGAATGCTGCGCAGATCATACGAAACCCGTTTCTTGGTCGCGCGCGTGACATTCGTAGCACCATGTGCGATATAAAAGATACGTTACCGACATTATGCGAATACATTAACTCGTTGATAAACCTAAGTTTAACGCCCGAGCATTTAAGGCTGGCCAAGTATAACGCCCCGGACGAAATCGTCGTAAGTATAAATGTTATAAGTATCGGAGATTCGAATAGCTCCTGCTAACCTAACCTAACCTAATTTATCAGACGAGGCTGATAATCCTATCGCTGTTGAAAACATATTTACAAAGTAACAGGAAGATCACAATAAGGGAGAGCGTTATACCAGACATTTACCGTAATTACGGCAATATCTATATATGGACGTGATATTTAGTTATGTATACAGGAAAATTCTCCTGAAAATAATCTGATAAGTCTGTTGAACGCAATCATATGTTTTATGTTTAGGCTGAGAAGCTGTGGAGCACACTGCGCATTCTGAGCTACTACGCCGCGAGAGAGAAACGAGGCGACATAGATTTTCGAAATTACGGTTCGTTTAAATGATTTGCATTTTTAATTACCGAGTGCATTGCAGATCGTACTCTAGATTCGCGTTCGTTTGTTTTAACAAGAAACATGCACGTTATTCCAATTACGAAGTCTTCGCGCCGCAATTATGTATACATAATTGTTATAATTAAACAAGTAAAATTGCTCTTATTGTCAGCATGTAAGAAAAAAAGAGACATGCAATCTCTTTGTTTAAAGTATAGTAATTAATTGCAAATGTGGTACTCTTTTAAAAAAGAAATCTTAATTACTGTACGCATCTATAAAAAAATATTGAATATATTTTTATAATAAATTAAATATATTTAAAAAAAATTACGCACAATTTTTTATAATATTACAATAATATACTTTTGTATTATTGTAAAGGAAAAATAGATTTAAAGCTATGTAAAATACTTTATAAAAATTTTAATATTTTCTATTTTATTAAACTACGGTCAAAGTTATATAGATGTTGAAATAATAATAAATTAAAAAATAATAAAATTCTATATGTAATTTAAATACCTTTCCTTCAGTGTCATGTAAAGTAAATATATTTAAGATAAATTACATATAGAATTATTATTTCAACATCTAACTTTGACCTTCTTTTTACTTAATTTATTAATATTATGATAAATAGTTGTGTTATAATAATAATTAGTGGTACATTTATTAATATTATAATAATTAATTGTGTATTTACGTGTATGGTTTAAAAGAAATTTCTTGTTTAATATTGAAATGTTATAATAATTAATATTTTTATATACAATATAATATTAATTATTATAACATTTCAATATTAAACAAGAAATGTCTTTTAAACCATACACAATTAATTATTATAAATATTAATAAATGTACCACTAATTACTATTATAATACAACTATTTATCATAATATTATTAACACTTAATTTATGTCTCTTCTTATAAAAAGACTTCACATTGTCAATCGTATTTCCAGACGCGTCGTCGGCGGTGAAGCTGCATCTCGCATTCTTACAATACCCAGTGATCGAGTTCTACAGCTTATCACAAAACGACGAACATAATAGAGATGCGTTGATAGCTTTAGCTTGGCTGCTGGGAACGCAGGATGTCCTCACTGCCATCCTTCGAGCGAAACTAGCCGATGGCGTTCTAGGTGCCGAATGTTCACATGTAGATTCATCGGAAGTCAGTATTAAACTTTTTAACGTAAATACAATAGAAATAAATGAAATCTATTTTTTTAATTGAATAGATAAGAAATAGCGACTCAAAAGTAATAAAATGTCGACATTTCTTGCGGTCTTTCGTATTGAAGAGAATCAGATCATATAACTTGCTTATACTTTTGTTTATACCTTCTCTGTGTGCTTTTGTTAAATAATTAACAAAAAAAGCGCATTAATGAATGTCTCACCGATCAGCTTGATATATTATATATAGTGTCTTTTCATGTCAAAGGAAATTCATTCATATATCAAAGTTCTATCCAGCCTTCATCGCTAATTATCGTACCGAACAATCAGCCGGTATTAACAAGCGCCCAGCTTAGCAGTATCCTGCACTTGAATGCCACGGTAAATCTAAACTTGCGGGAGGTCAACGAGTTGATCCGCGAACGGGCTAAATTGATATCTAAAGTCCACGCGGCGAGCATCGACGTGAGTGGTCTGCCGCACTTGAGCGTGTCTGAATTAGCGTTGATGAAACGCCTCTCCAGAACGCGCATCCTCGACGACGGAGGAGGCGGAAGCTCCGAGAAGGATCGACGGCGGCTGCGAGAGTTCCGCGAGGCTGGGATTCTGCTCGACGTGCGCGCCAAGTGGCTGCGGAAGCGGCACGTGTTCTTCGACTGGATGGTAAACCTTAGTCTCTAAAACTTTTAAGGTGGCATTCATGAAGTCCATTCTTATTTTAAGACTGTCTTAAGTAATGTTTTAAGGTACTAATGCGACTCTCTGGACAACATTCCGTAGTTTGCTCTTTTTTTAGGACCTTAATGTCTTAATAATACGGCTCTCTGATTTTATGACATTTTATAAAACTGTACTTAAAAGAGATTATAATGAAGACAAAGAATCTATTTCCTAAGAATTTTGTAATTATAGAACTTGAGAAGCATTCATTAGAGCATCAAACGTCACAGAACCTGGCAGAATTTCAGGAGAGATAAAGAGAGATACAGACAAGATGAAGAAATTTGACTCAAGTTAAATTAAGAGACAGAAAACAGCTTCTTCGCATTGCAATGCAAATTACTTTATTCTTTCTCTAATAAAATACAAGTAAAAAATTACATCAATTGCCAGAAAAGAAAAAAATATAAAAATATTTATGTTGCTCTCATATTCGTAGAATTTGCTCCGAGTTGTTTTATAAAAGAAGATCGACTATATATTGTTGGAAGTATTAATTATTTCTCACACAAAATAATTCTTAAAGATCTTTTCCAATTTTTTTTGCATAATAAAAATAAAAAAAAATCGCCTGGAATACTCAAATTAACTTGAGTATCTGAAGATTAGAATAACAAACCATAAAAAAATTCTGACAACGCTATATTAATTGTAGTAATGACTTCAATAATATGCATTGCAGGCTAGGGTGATTCAAGAGCACAGGAGATCTATGGAATTGAATCCGAGAGTAATCAATACGCGGGAACTCGCCGCATTTACCTCGTTGTTACGTCACGTAATTAGAGACAAACTTCGAGATTTCAAATCCGAGAAGATGGATAGCGGTGATTCTAGGAATTGGTCTTTGAATTGTCCGTCTCGCGCACACAGAAGTCAATGTAATAACGCGGAGGCGCGGAGCTGGTCGAACGATTTGAATGAGCGCCAGGACCGGGAGGAGGAAAATTTTCAACAAAATAGAAAACGGTTGGCCGACGAATTGGAGGAAATGTTGAAGTCGATACCGTCTGTCGTTCGCGTTTGACCGATATGTTATTTTGTATCATTTCATAGACGTTTACATTACATAAAAAAGAATTATTTATTATTAAACAGTAATATTTTATTATTTATCATCACTTTGAAATAAAAAAGTCGCTTAAATTAAATTAAAATTATATGTCACTATAAATTATTTGTGTGTCGAGGCGTTTTTGCATGAATAAGTGAAAAATGAATGAATGCATTTAATGATTGAACGCTCAGTGTGAAAAATGATCTACTTACTATCGGAATTTAAAATATTTCCATCGTTTTTCGCTAATAATGAAAAAAATATTTGAAGTAACATTCATTATGTGAGAAAAGATTCATATGGCTTTTCTGATGTAAATCACGACTGCAATAAAAAGTTTTTCTGAAAGTCTTTCGATATTCAATACATCAGATGATTAATATACATTAAAATAATAATACAGAAACGTTATGAAGTTTCTATATGAAATCATAAACTTGTTGGTATCACTTTAAAAACAACGGAAATATTTTATCTGGTCATTCACTTTATAAACGATTGCGTATCGTTGAGAGAAAGAGAGAGCACATCAAGAGTAAAGAGAAAAACAAGGAATTTTATGTTGTGACGGCAACCGTTTGATCGACAACGCCGAACGACGAGATGAAAACATTGAATGTTGTGACGAGGAAGATCCCAACAACTGTCCAATTGTTGGCCTTGTTCGCCTTACACATTTGCTCATGTTCCTTGACATTGTAGACGCTGTTCCATATCAGACCAATGCCCACAGCAATCTGCAGGAACAGGCTCATGCTGATCATGACGAGTGACGGATAGAAGTACGGATGCCGGCCGTCAGTCTGGAGAACGTAGCGCATCTGATTCGCGTTCGCGGACAACAGCGCCAAGTCCATCATACCCTGGGCCAGGGTCTTCTTGTGCTGGTAGACGTTCACGTCCGGGGTGACGACCTGCACGGCAGGCGTAGGAGGAAAGATGTTGCTGGACCATTCGGATTGTATTCCCACAGGCAATCCTGGTCCGTTTCTGCCGTCGAAGCCGATCGGCGGTGGGTTTTTATCCAGCACGTCGGACTCCGTTACGGTGACCGAATCCGGTCCTCGCGGATTGTCGGCGAGATTTTCATCATTTTCCGAGACGAAGCCGGCGCGCAGCCCGATGGACGGCGCTTCTGCCTCGGTGTCAGTGGACGTCAGGGGCCTCGACACCTCGTCGTGGATCTCGTCTAGATACAATATCTCATCGTTGCCAGACTTCCTTGTTCCGTTCATGTTGGAGAACCGTAGAGAATCGATTGAAGAAATCACCTGCGAAACAATGCAATTTTTCATATCACTTCAATTTTTACTCTTTCATTATTGCTTGAAAAAATATCATTCTACAGTCAGAGAAAAATATAGCAACTATAAAGGACCATTTGGATCATTATACAACTATACAGATTTATACAGGATGTTCCGAAATTCGTGAATCAAAATATTACATCATGAAAGTTTTGGAAAAAATATGAGTTATAAAAGTATTCACAATTTGTTGTTCCGAGCGGTAGTTTTTTAGATATAAAGGTTCGAAACTGACCCCTAGAGATTATATGCGGTTTCATGTTTGTTTATGAATAGGATTTCCGACCGCGATAATGAAAATATTCTCGGGTATCAGAGATAAAGGCATAATGGCAAAACATAAACTAAAGATGATAACTGTACAAGTGTTATATGTAGAATTAATGTACACACATATATGTATATATATAATTGAATAGACTATTTCATAATTATTGCAAGTATAAATAATATATTCACTTACGTACATTAATTCTGCATAGAAAACTTGTATAGTATAATTTTACATATAAAACTTGCACTGTAAACTTAATGTATATATATAGTTTAATAAACAATTTTATATTTTTATATACATTAATTTTACATATAAAACTTATAAAATATAATATTCTACATATAAATTTTGTACATTACAAAATTTAAACAAATGCTGAATAAACTATTTTACAATTATTGCAATTACAGAATAGTTTATTCAACTTGTACGACAATTCTACATATAAAATTTGTACAGGTATCATCTTTATGGTTGCTATCACGTGTCTTTTTCTCTTATATCCAAGGAATCTTTATCATCGCGATCGGGAATCCGTGAATGAATAAATCGATTGAAAATTTTACTCTTTATATCGCACTACTACATATATATTTCTGACAGCTGTTACCATGAATCGTGACTAATTGCCATATAAAACTTTACTACTACATATATATTTCTGACAGCTGTTGCCATAAATCGTGACTAATTGCCATATAAAACTCTCTCACTCTTGCGTCTTTTAAGTTCAAAACGTAAATATCCTTTGAACTATTTTATTCACTTAAACTATTTATTTTTTAAACTATTTTATTCAATTGTTATTATAATATCTTATTTTTTCTTCATTTCGTAATTTTTTTGCTATTTTAGCTAGCACTTTGTAATTATATTCCTTGTAATTGTACTTTGTAACTGGAGCATTTGCCAATTTTAGCTTTTTTGCTGACACTCTCAGACAGCACACAATATTTATAAAATATTTACAAAATAATATTACAACATAAAATAATATTTACAATATAATCGAGCATGTTTCTTTAGCAATTTAAAAAAATTATTTTTTTTTCTTTTAATATCACTCACCGTATTTTAAAACACCGCAAGTATCTTCTCTGACTTTACAGAACGAACAAAGGATTCACGAAGTGGACTGTCCGATTCGATGTTCTCCGATCTACTGGTCTCGTTGCCGCGCGCGGCAACTGATTCATCCATCCTCGCGTCACGATCGCCATACCATATAACTACGACGTTATACCGGGAACGTATCACGGCCGCGTGTTTTCCCCGGGTTCCATGTCGTAGGAAAACGTACGATTATTACCGTAATTAAAGCTACGTATGGTAAGCTATTAACACTCGCCGTAGAATTCTTCTTATCTCCTCGTAGAATCTTTCTCGTAAGCTGCAATCGCTCTGCAAGATTAACTAATAATATAATTGAACATTTTGTTTTTTTAATGAACGCAATCTTAATCCTAAAAGAAAAGAACCAATTAATCTTTCGAATTATTATATAAGCTCCTGTTAGTTTTATTATTATGTCATAATTACATATTATATATATAATTTCAATTATAATTTTTATTATATATAATGTAATAGTACAAAATCTTTTTAATTATTAGTTTCTGCTATTTTTGTTATTATGTTAACAGATATGATTAGATAATAATTTCAATTATAATTACTTTTTTATATATGTAAATCTCTCTCATTCATTGATAAAACTACAATAAAGTATAAAATAAGTTTGATTAATTTTACTGAAGTGCATGGTAAAAATCTTTAAAATATTGTATTGTATCACAACTACCATATTTTCAGAAATTTTAAAAGAAAATTCTCTCCGTGCAGTAGTGAATAATTTAATTACTAGCTCCTACTATTTTTGTTATTATGTTAGAGTTAGATACTATAATTTCAATTATAATTTATAATATATAATAGTAAGTAACACATTATAATACATTAAAATAATGATACATAATAATATGTTATAACAGTACAATCTAAATATATATTGTACATACTTTAGAGAGTCGTTCCTTCTTGAGGGAATGATTTAACGAAACTAAGTATGAATTTTCAACAAAATACACATTTGACATTTAATCGTCGCACCTTGTTGTTTATCCTGCTTCATACATCGCGAATATTTTATCGATAGAGAAACGGAATAGAATCCGACGACATCAGTTCACAACTGTCGCGTGTACTGGCTATGTGCCTCGGCCGCGATTTAGAGTCACGCTTCAAGGTCTTCTTCCGGCGAAACGGTTTGTGGAAGGGAGAATGGCAATGATCTAGGAAAGTACATTCGCGGATTCGTCGCTATAAATACAAATACGTTGTCCGCATTTCTTCTCCCGCTTCAGTCGCTATAATCACAAGCGCGGTGGCGCTTTTTTGCAAATACCTGCTTCGCGTGATAATGGTATTCATAATATTCATGAGACACTTTGCATTTCTGCATCCTGGATCTACGGGTACAAAGGTGGTGATCTACATTTCGCATCTGTTCCGCCGATCTAGAATATAATTTCGAGAAAACGTCATCAGGTGTTTCCCGAGCTGGCTCCTCGGACTTTCCGCGTTACATTTACATGACGCAAATTGACGCGCGTGAACATTACTGGGAAGTTGACGATTTCGAATACGCGCATGGACCTGATAGAATAAAATTGGCAGATACTCTGAATTAAGTCATTTACACGATTTCCTTTCAGTCTCTCGTAATTCCATTTATGCCGGAATAAATGGATTCTAAAGTCGTTCTGCTTTGGAAAAGGCTTCAGTCATGCCTCTCGCAAATATTGATTATGAGATAATTAATAGTAAACACCAACTAACAGTAACATTACATCAATGATATACCTATATTAATTTCTCACTCAATAATATATAATATAAATGTGATGTAACACATGTTTTACGTAAAAGTTAAGTAAGAAATTATAACATTGATATAACGTTATAATTTCCTACTCAGCTTAATGTTAATTGTTGTTTACTGGAAAGTAGGATGATATAATAATTATGAATTAAACAATAATAATGTATATGTAATAATATAAATATATGAAAGCATAATTACTTATCATAACAAGTTTGCTATCGAATTATTTGTAAATCCCTATTATGAGATAATAGTACTCAATAAATATCAATTAACATTATATTAATAATATATATAAATTCCACTCAACAATATAAATACAATATGCAACACGTGTTGTATGTAATAGTTAAATAGGAAATTACAACATAGATGTAATATTATTGTTAATTGCTATTTACTAGAGTAGAATAGTGTTTCGATGTCGAAACTGGTCCCGTCTCGTTATATCGGTACTGAGATCGGGACTGAAACGAGACCGAGACTCTGTTTTCAAATCGAGACCGAGATCGAGTCTCGGCGAGACATACACATGTACTAAAAATCTGGGCCAGTCATCAAACCTTCTACTAAACGGAGAAGTCCGCGAACATCAGTTGTTTTAAGGTGCGCCCAGATTACCGAACCAAACCTCGAGCAGCGAGTATTTCGGCGAATAACAAATGCTTATCGAAATTTATAATATTTGTCCGCAGTAAAAATATAATTTGTAAAAAAATTTCGATTCGAGATCAACGACATTCTCGACCGAGACCGAGACGGTGATCTGATTAGACGAGATATGGCTGAGTATGTATTAAATCAGTGATTATCTACTTCGGAACGACCGCCTCCTATAAAGCGATATGTTTAAAATGGTCAATTTCAAAATAACATTACAAGAAAATTATACGGTCAATATTGCTCCAATTGTGGGATTATTTATGTATAGTATTTATCTACATCATATAAAAAATTAAGTCTGTAAGTTGGTTTTCGATTAACAGTCGAACTTCTTAATCTCGATTCTCGTGACCGTAAAGCTTAATAAGTTTTTAAGACTTAAGCCGTAAGAAATTGAACAAATTACATTTGAATATGAAAAAAATGAGCGACTATTATTTTACGATTTTAAACGCAAAGATACGATTTTTCTATCTATCCCTTCCCTCCCTTAGATGAGGCAACTACGCATACACTTTACAACGTGATATGAGATTTATTTGTATATATAATCTAATATACGTGGAAAGTTGTGAGTCCTTTGACAGAAGGGGGGGTGAAACTCGCTTCGCGTGGAAAGTCGTAAAATATATTTTAAAGTGGAAAAATTTTGTTTTGTATAGTAAAAAGGTGACTTTTTTCAGTTACTGTTTTTTCGGTTATTTTCCTAGACGTTTCACCTCATATTTCTCCTCTGTCTACAGTCATTCGATTTTTCACGCAAAGAAATGAAACAATTACCAACTTGGATTGTTAATAACTTTTTAATATAAACAACGAGCAACGGTTAAAACTTGTTGG